GCAATTGTTAAGTTGTGAGGACATGACGTCACAAACTGATTACGATCTTGGCAAATTGTGTTGTGATTCTCATTGTTCCATAGTTTTACACACTTTTTCAAAAATTCATAACTTTCTTATTAGTTATCCGATTTTGCTCAAACTTGTTTTGATTTGTTTGTCTAATTTTTTTGCTTTTAATGAAATTAAGTTATTTTTGGAGTAGACTTGCCCTTTAAACGCATATTGCAATATCATTTATTCGGCTCTCTCAATATTCACCATATCTGTGAATGAAATGACATATATTACCTTGAATATTGTATGTTCCTGTGCATGTCTTATTCAATACGTCATCATAGATGAGGGCAACCACTTCATGGGTTCCTATGGACACACTGCTTCCAAGTGGGGAACCTCCTAGTGTAAGATTAACCGATACACCATCTCCGTGATATCTGTAACTATCTACAGATTTGGTGACGTTATCTGCTCCGAAATCTAGGTTAAAGGTATACGTCGCTTGGTCCACATCTGTGCTTACATTGCGATTCAAGTCTGGACAGTTCACGGGCAGCTCGGTAACTGCCAAAAAAAACATTGATAATAAAAGACGGTTGGTAACTCGTTTTGTATAGGTTGATGTAAGAAAAATTAAGTTTTCAAATTCTTAAGTTTTCGAAATTTGCGCAAAAGCTGTCTACTTTTAGGAAAGAAATTCTTTTGCTAAATTCTAATTCAAGTACCGATATCAGAAATTGTAAAATCTTAAGAATTGCAGTGCAACATACTTTATCAGGGGAGAATAAGGCCAAATAAAAGATAAAAACTTTAGCGTCCTGCCTTTTTTGAAAAATAGGAAGGAGGCGGCCCTTTTTTCTTCTTTTTTCAAGTTGGCCGCCGGTATTTTTTTTTTTTTTTTGCAAATCAGAAATAGATCATTTTAGCTGTATGTTTTTCATGTTTTCATTCAGTGAAGAAGAAAAAAAAGTAGAAGGCGGCCCCCAAAAAGGAAGCGGGCGGGGATGCTAAACATGTATATATTTTGTTAATGGCCTTATACCCTCCCGAATAGCACAGTGGGATTGGGCAAAATGTCGGGTAGCAGTTGCAAGTTCATCCAGTAAATGATTGTAACATCGCTAATAATTGCTTTATCACTGACGAATCATAATCTTCATGGAACAATGTCTCATCAGACCTACGTGTGTTCTGGACGTAGAATAGGCAGGATTCTGAGTTGTTAAATGCATCGACCGCAAACATTGTTACTGGTGTGTATCCTGGAGGAAACAGGTCAACCTCTAGTGTAACGTTATAAGTAACTCCATTTGGGTCAGTACTTGCATCTGTGTAGTTATAGGTTGTACCATTCGTCAATCCAGAAAAGGTGTTTGGCGACTCGGGAGGGAGAGTTACATTCAAACATGACACAATAGGAGGATATGTGTCTATAAGAAATGATGAAGTGAATGAAAATTTAAATTAATCGAAAGTGTTTCCATACACAAATTACAAAAAGATGTTAACATATTTTTATATTTGGAATACAATAGGCAAATGATGTTTTAATTACGTATATTTCTCAATTTTTTTTGTGATCGTGTTAAAATATGTTAAAAGAATCATTCTCGATCTTTACCCCATGCAAATAAGATGTTTACATATGTTTCTATTTGGAATATAATAGGCAATTGATGTTTTAATTACGTATATTTTTCAAAAATCTTTGTGATCGTGTTAAAATATGTTAAAAGAAATATTCTCGATCTTTTCCCCATGAAAATGAGATGCACCTAAGATGCTTATGGGTAAACGTAAACAAACATGTTCAGAACAACACTGGCGTGAATAGATCTATTCATAGTACCTTCGACAACAGAGGTCCCCGTGCATGTCTTATTCAATACGTCATCATAGATGAGGGCAACTACTTCATGGGTTCCTATGGACACACTGCTTCCAAGTGGGGAACCTCCTAGTGTAAGATTAACCGATACACCATCTCCGTGATATCTGTAACTATCTACAGATTTGGTGACGTTATCTGCTCCGAAATCTAGGTTAAAGGTATACGTCGCTTGGTCCACATCTGTGCTTACATTGCGATTCAAGTCTGGACAGTTCACGGGCAGCTCGGTAACTGCCAAAAAAAACATTGATAATAAAAGACGGTTGGTAACTCGTTTTGTATAGGTTGATGTAAGAAAAATCAAGTTTTCAAATTCTTAAGTTTTCGAAATTTGCGCAAAAGCTGTCTACTTTTAGGAAAGAAATTCTTTTGCTAAATTCTAATTCAAGTACCGATATCAGAAATTGTAAAATCTTAAGAATTGCAGTGCAACATACTTTATCAGGGGAGAATAAGGCCAAATAAAAGATAAAAACTTTAGCGTCCTGCCTTTTTTGAAAAATAGGAAGGAGGCGGCCCTTTTTTCTTCTTTTTTCAAAATGGCCGCCGGTATTTTATTTTATTTTTTTGCAAATCAGAAATAGATCATTTTAGCTGTATGTTTTTCATGTTTTTATTCAGTGAAGAAGGAAAAAAAAGTAGAAGGCGGCCCCCAAAAAGGAAGCGGGCGGGGATGCTAAACATGTATATATTTTGTTAATGGCCTTATACCCTCCCGAATAGCACAGTGGGATTGGGCAAAATGTCGGGTAGCAGTTGCAAGTTCATCCAGTAACTGATTGTAACATCGCTAATAATTGCTTTATCATTGACGAATCATAATCTTCATGGAACAATGTCTCATCAGACCTACGTGTGTTCTGTACGTAGAATAGGCAGGATTCTGAGTTGTTAAATGCATCGACCGCAAACATTGTTACTGGTGTGTATCCTGGAGGAAACAGGTCAACCTCTAGTGTAACGTTATAAGTAACTCCATTTGGGTCAGTACTTGCATCTGTGTAGTTATAGGTTGTACCATTCGTCAATCCAGAAAAGGTGTTTGGCGACTCGGGAGGGAGAGTTACATTCAAACATGACACAATAGGAGGATATGTGTCTATAAGAAATGATGAAGTGAATGAAAATTTAAATTAATCGAAAGTGTTTCCATACACAAATTACAAAAAGATGTTAACATATTTTTATATTTGGAATACAATAGGCAAATGATGTTTTAATTACGTATATTTCTCAAATTTTTTTGTGATCGTATTAAAATATGTTAAAAGAATCATTCTCGATCTTTACTCCATGCAAATAAGATGTTGACATATGTTTCTATTTGGAATATAATAGGCAAATGATGTTTTAATTACGTATATTTCTCCAAAATCTTTGTGATCGTGTTAAAATATGTTTAGAGAATTATTCTCGATCTTTTCCCCATGAAAATGAGATGCACCTAAGATGCTTATGGGTAAACGTAAACAAACATGTTCAGAACAACACTGGCGTGAATAGATCTATTCATAGTACCTTCGACAACAGAGGTCCCCGTGCATGTCTTATTCAAGAGATCATCATAGATGAGGGCAACCACTTCATGGGTTCCTATGGACACACTGCTTCCAAGTGGGGAACCTCCTAGTGTAAGATTAACCGATACACCATCTCCGTGATATCTGTAACTATCTACAGATTTGGTGACGTTATCTGCTCCGAAATCTAGGTTAAAGGTATACGTCGCTTGGTCCACATCTGTGCTTACATTGCGATTCAAGTCTGGACAGTTCACGGGCAGCTCGGTAACTGCCAAAAAAAACATTGATAATAAAAGACGGTTGGTAACTCGTTTTGTATAGGTTGATGTAAGAAAAATTAAGTTTTCAAATTCTTAAGTTTTCGAAATTTGCGCAAAAGCTGTCTACTTTTAGGAAAGAAATTCTTTTGCTAAATTCTAATTCAAGTACCGATATCAGAAATTGTAAAATCTTAAGAATTGCAGTGCAACATACTTTATCAGGGGAGAATAAGGCCAAATAAAAGATAAAAACTTTAGCGTCCTGCCTTTTTTGAAAAATAGGAAGGAGGCGGCCCTTTTTTCTTCTTTTTTCAAGTTGGCCGCCGGTATTTTATTTATTTTTTTGCAAATCAGAAATAGATCATTTTAGCTGTATGTTTTTCATGTTTTTATTCAGTGAAGAAGAAAAAAAAGTAGAAGGCGGCCCCCAAAAAGGAAGCGGGCGGGGATGCTAAACATGTATATATTTTGTTAATGGCCTTATACCCTCCCGAATAGCACAGTGGGATTGGGCAAAATGTCGGGTAGCAGTTGCAAGTTCATCCAGTAACTGATTGTAACATCGCTAATAATTGCTTTATCACTGACGAATCATAATCTTCATGGAACAATGTCTCATCAGACCTACGTGTGTTCTGTACGTAGAATAGGCAGGATTCTGAGTTGTTAAATGCATCGACCGCAAACATTGTTACTGGTGTGTATCCTGGAGGAAACAGGTCAACCTCTAGTGTAACGTTATAAGTAACTCCATTTGGGTCAGTACTTGCATCTGTGTAGTTATAGGTTGTACCATTCGTCAATCCAGAAAAGGTGTTTGGCGACTCGGGAGGGAGAGTTACATTCAAACATGACACAATAGGAGGATATGTGTCTATAAGAAATGATGAAGTGAATGAAAATTTAAATTAATCGAAAGTGTTTCCATACACAAATTACAAAAAGATGTTAACATATTTTTATATTTGGAATACAATAGGCAAATGATGTTTTGATTACGTATATTTCTCAATTTTTTTTGTGATCGTATTAAAATATGTTAAAAGAATCATTCTCGATCTTTACTCCATGCAAATAAGATGTTTACATATGTTTCTATTTGGAATATAATAGGCAAATGATGTTTTAATTACGTATATTTCTCCAAAATCTTTGTGATCGTGTTAAAATATGTTTAGAGAATTATTCTCGATCTTTTCCCCATGAAAATGAGATGCACCTAAGATGCTTATGGGTAAACGTAAACAAACATGTTCAGAACAACACTGGCAAGAATAGATCTATTCATAGTACCTTTGACAACAGAGGTCCCCGTGCATGTCTTATTCAATACGTCATCATAGATGAGGGCAACACTTCATGGGTTCCTATGGACACACTGCTTCCAAGTGGGGAACCTCCTAGTGTAAGATTAACCGATACACCATCTCCGTGATATCTGTAACTATCTACAGATTTGGTGACGTTATCTGCTCCGAAATCTAGGTTAAAGGTATACGTCGCTTGGTCCACATCTGTGCTTACATTGCGATTCAAGTCTGGACAGTTCACGGGCAGCTCGGTAACTGCCAAAAAAAACATTGATAATAAAAGACGGTTGGTAACTCGTTTTGTATAGGTTGATGTAAGAAAAATTAAGTTTTCAAATTCTTAAGTTTTCGAAATTTGCGCAAAAGCTGTCTACTTTTAGGAAAGAAATTCTTTTGCTAAATTCTAATTCAAGTACCGATATCAGAAATTGTAAAATCTTAAGAATTGCAGTGCAACATACTTTATCAGGGGAGAATAAGGCCAAATAAAAGATAAAAACTTTAGCGTCCTGCCTTTTTTGAAAAATAGGAAGGAGGCGGCCCTTTTTTCTTCTTTTTTCAAGTTGGCCGCCGGTATTTTATTTTTTTTTTTGCAAATCAGAAATAGATCATTTTAGCTGTATGTTTTTCATGTTTTTATTCAGTGAAGAAGGAAAAAAAAGTAGAAGGCGGCCCCCAAAAAGGAAGCGGGCGGGGATGCTAAACATGTATATATTTTGTTAATGGCCTTATACCCTCCCGAATAGCACAGTGGGATTGGGCAAAATGTCGGGTAGCAGTTGCAAGTTCATCCAGTAACTGATTGTAACATCGCTAATAATTGCTTTATCATTGACGAATCATAATCTTCATGGAACAATGTCTCATCAGACCTACGTGTGTTCTGTACGTAGAATAGGCAGGATTCTGAGTTGTTAAATGCATCGACCGCAAACATTGTTACTGGTGTGTATCCTGGAGGAAACAGGTCAACCTCTAGTGTAACGTTATAAGTAACTCCATTTGGGTCAGTACTTGCATCTGTGTAGTTATAGGTTGTACCATTCGTCAATCCAGAAAAGGTGTTTGGCGACTCGGGAGGGAGAGTTACATTCAAACATGACACAATAGGAGGATATGTGTCTATAAGAAATGATGAAGTGAATGAAAATTTAAATTAATCGAAAGTGTTTCCATACACAAATTACAAAAAGATGTTAACATATTTTTATATTTGGAATACAATAGGCAAATGATGTTTTAATTACGTATATTTCTCAAATTTTTTTGTGATCGTATTAAAATATGTTAAAAGAATCATTCTCGATCTTTACTCCATGCAAATAAGATGTTGACATATGTTTCTATTTGGAATATAATAGGCAAATGATGTTTTAATTACGTATATTTCTCCAAAATCTTTGTGATCGTGTTAAAATATGTTTAGAGAATTATTCTCGATCTTTTCCCCATGAAAATGAGATGCACCTAAGATGCTTATGGGTAAACGTAAACAAACATGTTCAGAACAACACTGGCGTGAATAGATCTATTCATAGTACCTTCGACAACAGAGGTCCCCGTGCATGTCTTATTCAAGAGATCATCATAGATGAGGGCAACCACTTCATGGGTTCCTATGGACACACTGCTTCCAAGTGGGGAACCTCCTAGTGTAAGATTAACCGATACACCATCTCCGTGATATCTGTAACTATCTACAGATTTGGTGACGTTATCTGCTCCGAAATCTAGGTTAAAGGTATACGTCGCTTGGTCCACATCTGTGCTTACATTGCGATTCAAGTCTGGACAGTTCACGGGCAGCTCGGTAACTGCCAAAAAAAACATTGATAATAAAAGACGGTTGGTAACTCGTTTTGTATAGGTTGATGTAAGAAAAATTAAGTTTTCAAATTCTTAAGTTTTCGAAATTTGCGCAAAAGCTGTCTACTTTTAGGAAAGAAATTCTTTTGCTAAATTCTAATTCAAGTACCGATATCAGAAATTGTAAAATCTTAAGAATTGCAGTGCAACATACTTTATCAGGGGAGAATAAGGCCAAATAAAAGATAAAAACTTTAGCGTCCTGCCTTTTTTGAAAAATAGGAAGGAGGCGGCCCTTTTTTCTTCTTTTTTCAAGTTGGCCGCCGGTATTTTATTTATTTTTTTGCAAATCAGAAATAGATCATTTTAGCTGTATGTTTTTCATGTTTTTATTCAGTGAAGAAGAAAAAAAAAGTAGAAGGCGGCCCCCAAAAAGGAAGCGGGCGGGGATGCTAAACATGTATATATTTTGTTAATGGCCTTATACCCTCCCGAATAGCACAGTGGGATTGGGCAAAATGTCGGGTAGCAGTTGCAAGTTCATCCAGTAACTGATTGTAACATCGCTAATAATTGCTTTATCACTGACGAATCATAATCTTCATGGAACAATGTCTCATCAGACCTACGTGTGTTCTGTACGTAGAATAGGCAGGATTCTGAGTTGTTAAATGCATCGACCGCAAACATTGTTACTGGTGTGTATCCTGGAGGAAACAGGTCAACCTCTAGTGTAACGTTATAAGTAACTCCATTTGGGTCAGTACTTGCATCTGTGTAGTTATAGGTTGTACCATTCGTCAATCCAGAAAAGGTGTTTGGCGACTCGGGAGGGAGAGTTACATTCAAACATGACACAATAGGAGGATATGTGTCTATAAGAAATGATGAAGTGAATGAAAATTTAAATTAATCGAAAGTGTTTCCATACACAAATTACAAAAAGATGTTAACATATTTTTATATTTGGAATACAATAGGCAAATGATGTTTTGATTACGTATATTTCTCAATTTTTTTTGTGATCGTGTTAAAATATGTTAAAAGAATCATTCTCGATCTTTACTCCATGCAAATAAGATGTTTACATATGTTTCTATTTGGAATATAATAGGCAAATGATGTTTTAATTACGTATATTTCTCCAAAATCTTTGTGATCGTGTTAAAATATGTTTAGAGAATTATTCTCGATCTTTTCCCCATGAAAATGAGATGCACCTAAGATGCTTATGGGTAAACGTAAACAAACATGTTCAGAACAACACTGGCAAGAATAGATCTATTCATAGTACCTTTGACAACAGAGGTCCCCGTGCATGTCTTATTCAATACGTCATCATAGATGAGGGCAATCACTTCATGGGTTCCTATGGACACACTGCTTCCAAGTGGGGAACCTCCTAGTGTAAGATTAACCGATACACCATCTCCGTGATATCTGTAACTATCTACAGATTTGGTGACGTTATCTGCTCCGAAATCTAGGTTAAAGGTATACGTCGCTTGGTCCAAATCTGTGCTTACATTGCGATTCAAGTCTGGACAGTTCACGGGCAGCTCGGTAACTGCCAAAAAAACATTGATAATAAAAGACGGTTGGTAACTCGTTTTGTATAGGTTGATGTAAGAAAAATTAAGTTTTCAAATTCTTAAGTTTTCGAAATTTGCGCAAAAGCTGTCTACTTTTAGGAAAGAAATTCTTTTGCTAAATTCTAATTCAAGTACCGATATCATAAATTGTAAAATCTTAAGAATTGCAGTGCAACATACTTTATCAGGGGAGAATAAGGCCAAATAAAAGATAAAAACTTTAGCGTCCTGCCTTTTTTGAAAAATAGGAAGGAGGCGGCCCTTTTTTCTTCTTTTTTCAAGTTGGCCGCCGGTATTTTATTTATTTTTTTGCAAATCAGAAATAGATCATTTTAGCTGTATGTTTTTCATGTTTTTATTCATTGAAGAAGAAAAAAAAAGTAGAAGGCGGCCCCCAAAAAGGAAGCGGGCGGGGATGCTAAACATGTATATATTTTGTTAATGGCCTTATACCCTCCCGAATAGCACAGTGGGATTGGGCAAAATGTCGGGTAGCAGTTGCAAGTTCATCCAGTAACTGATTGTAACATCGCTAATAATTGCTTTATCACTGACGAATCATAATCTTCATGGAACAATGTCTCATCAGACCTACGTGTGTTCTGGACGTAGAATAGGCAGGATTCTGAGTTGTTAAATGCATCGACCGCAAACATTGTTACTGGTGTGTATCCTGGAGGAAACAGGTCAACCTCTAGTGTAACGTTATAAGTAACTCCATTTGGGTCAGTACTTGCATCTGTGTAGTTATAGGTTGTACCATTCGTCAATCCAGAAAAGGTGTTTGGCGACTCGGGAGGGAGAGTTACATTCAAACATGACACAATAGGAGGATATGTGTCTATAAGAAATGATGAAGTGAATGAAAATTTAAATTAATCGAAAGTGTTTCCATACACAAATTACAAAAAGATGTTAACATATTTTTATATTTGGAATACAATAGGCAAATGATGTTTTGATTACGTATATTTCTCAAATTTTTTTGTGATCGTGTTAAAATATGTTAAAAGAATCATTCTCGATCTTTACTCCATGCAAATAAGATGTTTACATATGTTTCTATTTGGAATATAATAGGCAAATGATGTTTTAATTACGTATATTTCTCCAAAATCTTTGTGATCGTGTTAAAATATGTTAAGAGAATTATTCTCGATCTTTTCCCCATGAAAATGAGATGCACCTAAGATGCTTATGGGTAAACGTAAAAAAACATGTTCAGAACAACACTGGCAAGAATAGATCTATTCATAGTACCTTTGACAACAGAGGTCCCCGTGCATGTCTTATTCAATACGTCATCATAGATGAGGGCAATCACTTCATGGGTTCCTATGGACACACTGCTTCCAAGTGGGGAACCTCCTAGTGTAAGATTAACCGATACACCATCTCCGTGATATCTGTAACTATCTACAGATTTGGTGACGTTATCTGCTCCGAAATCTAGGTTAAAGGTATACGTCGCTTGGTCCAAATCTGTGCTTACATTGCGATTCAAGTCTGGACAGTTCACGGGCAGCTCGGTAACTGCCAAAAAAACATTGATAATAAAAGACGGTTGGTAACTCGTTTTGTATAGGTTGATGTAAGAAAAATTAAGTTTTCAAATTCTTAAGTTTTCGAAATTTGCGCAAAAGCTGTCTACTTTTAGGAAAGAAATTCTTTTGCTAAATTCTAATTCAAGTACCGATATCATAAATTGTAAAATCTTAAGAATTGCAGTGCAACATACTTTATCAGGGGAGAATAAGGCCAAATAAAAGATAAAAACTTTAGCGTCCTGCCTTTTTTGAAAAATAGGAAGGAGGCGGCCCTTTTTTCTTCTTTTTTCAAGTTGGCCGCCGGTATTTTATTTATTTTTTTGCAAATCAGAAATAGATCATTTTAGCTGTATGTTTTTCATGTTTTTATTCATTGAAGAAGAAAAAAAAAGTAGAAGGCGGCCCCCAAAAAGGAAGCGGGCGGGGATGCTAAACATGTATATATTTTGTTAATGGCCTTATACCCTCCCGAATAGCACAGTGGGATTGGGCAAAATGTCGCGTAGCAGTTGCAAGTTCATCCAGTAACTGATTGTAACATCGCTAATAATTGCTTTATCACTGACGAATCATAATCTTCATGGAACAATGTCTCATCAGACCTACGTGTGTTCTGTACGTAGAATAGGCAGGATTCTGAGTTGTTAAATGCATCGACCGCAAACATTGTTACTGGTGTGTATCCTGGAGGAAACAGGTCAACCTCTAGTGTAACGTTATAAGTAACTCCATTTGGGTCAGTACTTGCATCTGTGTAGTTATAGGTTGTACCATTCGTCAATCCAGAAAAGGTGTTTGGCGACTCGGGAGGGAGAGTTACATTCAAACATGACACAATAGGAGGATATGTGTCTATAAGAAATGATGAAGTGAATGAAAATTTAAATTAATCGAAAGTGTTTCCATACACAAATTACAAAAAGATGTTAACATATTTTTATATTTGGAATACAATAGGCAAATGATGTTTTGATTACGTATATTTCTCAAATTTTTTTGTGATCGTGTTAAAATATGTTAAAAGAATCATTCTCGATCTTTACTCCATGCAAATAAGATGTTTACATATGTTTCTATTTGGAATATAATAGGCAAATGATGTTTTAATTACGTATATTTCTCCAAAATCTTTGTGATCGTGTTAAAATATGTTAAGAGAATTATTCTCGATCTTTTCCCCATGAAAATGAGATGCACCTAAGATGCTTATGGGTAAACGTAAAAAAACATGTTCAGAACAACACTGGCAAGAATAGATCTATTCATAGTACCTTTGACAACAGAGGTCCCCGTGCATGTCTTATTCAATACGTCATCATAGATGAGGGCAATCACTTCATGGGTTCCTATGGACACACTGCTTCCAAGTGGGGAACCTCCTAGTGTAAGATTAACCGATACACCATCTCCGTGATATCTGTAACTATCTACAGATTTGGTGACGTTATCTGCTCCGAAATCTAGGTTAAAGGTATACGTCGCTTGGTCCAAATCTGTGCTTACATTGCGATTCAAGTCTGGACAGTTCACGGGCAGCTCGGTAACTGCCAAAAAAACATTGATAATAAAAGACGGTTGGTAACTCGTTTTGTATAGGTTGATGTAAGAAAAATTAAGTTTTCAAATTCTTAAGTTTTCGAAATTTGCGCAAAAGCTGTCTACTTTTAGGAAAGAAATTCTTTTGCTAAATTCTAATTCAAGTACCGATATCATAAATTGTAAAATCTTAAGAATTGCAGTGCAACATACTTTATCAGGGGAGAATAAGGCCAAATAAAAGATAAAAACTTTAGCGTCCTGCCTTTTTTGAAAAATAGGAAGGAGGCGGCCCTTTTTTCTTCTTTTTTCAAGTTGGCCGCCGGTATTTTATTTATTTTTTTGCAAATCAGAAATAGATCATTTTAGCTGTATGTTTTTCATGTTTTTATTCATTGAAGAAGAAAAAAAAAGTAGAAGGCGGCCCCCAAAAAGGAAGCGGGCGGGGATGCTAAACATGTATATATTTTGTTAATGGCCTTATACCCTCCCGAATAGCACAGTGGGATTGGGCAAAATGTCGCGTAGCAGTTGCAAGTTCATCCAGTAACTGATTGTAACATCGCTAATAATTGCTTTATCACTGACGAATCATAATCTTCATGGAACAATGTCTCATCAGACCTACGTGTGTTCTGTACGTAGAATAGGCAGGATTCTGAGTTGTTAAATGCATCGACCGCAAACATTGTTACTGGTGTGTATCCTGGAGGAAACAGGTCAACCTCTAGTGTAACGTTATAAGTAACTCCATTTGGGTCAGTACTTGCATCTGTGTAGTTATAGGTTGTACCATTCGTCAATCCAGAAAAGGTGTTTGGCGACTCGGGAGGGAGAGTTACATTCAAACATGACACAATAGGAGGATATGTGTCTATAAGAAATGATGAAGTGAATGAAAATTTAAATTAATCGAAAGTGTTTCCATACACAAATTACAAAAAGATGTTAACATATTTTTATATTTGGAATACAATAGGCAAATGATGTTTTGATTACGTATATTTCTCAAATTTTTTTGTGATCGTGTTAAAATATGTTAAAAGAATCATTCTCGATCTTTACTCCATGCAAATAAGATGTTTACATATGTTTCTATTTGGAATATAATAGGCAAATGATGCTTTAATTACGTATATTTCTCCAAAATCTTTGTGATCGTGTTAAAATATGTTAAGAGAATTATTCTCGATCTTTTCCCCATGAAAATGAGATGCACCTAAGATGCTTATGGGTAAACGTAAACAAACATGTTCAGAACAACACTGGCAAGAATAGATCTATTCATAGTACCTTTGACAACAGAGGTCCCCGTGCATGTCTTATTCAATACGTCATCATAGATGAGGGCAATCACTTCATGGGTTCCTATGGACACACTGCTTCCAAGTGGGGAACCTCCTAGTGTAAGATTAACCGATACACCATCTCCGTGATATCTGTAATTATCTACAGATTTGGTGACGTTATCTGCTCCGAAATCTAGGTTAAAGGTATACGTCGCCTTGTTCACATCTGTGCTTACATTGCGATTCAAGTCTGGACAGTTCACAGGCAACTCGGTAACTGCCAAAATATCCAAAATGTAAAAACAGACAAAAATAAGTTAATTTTGACAATTATTTGTATATGTGTATAATAAATGATATCCTAAATTGAATCTCAATGCAACTATAAACAATCATATTTTTGCTGGATGGGATGCCTTCACGACATGCCACATACTGTGCATTTCTTGCCTTATCCATAATTTTGCAACTTTTTGGGGGGAACGTTGTGACTTGTGGAACAATTATATGACACAAAACTATTATGCTGAAAATACATATATTTTACTACTAGAGCATGGTGAAAGGCGTACGTGAGTTCTCTATGTGGAATGGTCAAGAAACTGAATTTTGGCAATCCACCATTACAAACCATTTCGAAAAGCTGAATTGAGTGACTAAATAAGGCTTTGATTTGGACTGATAATACACGATGTATGTGCTGAATTAAATATGATAGTACTTTATTCAACGGCCACCTAAAAATGACCGGGAACTAGCATTAAATGTTCATACTTACGTGTGTTCTCTACATAGAAGAGGCAAGTAGCTTCATTCTGACAAATATCTTTTACGAACAGTGTAACAGGTGTGTGTCCTGGAGGGAACAAGTCTCCCACAATGAATCCCTTCGTGACGTTGTACGAGGCCCCACTTGGGTCAACATTTTCATCCACGTTGGTGAATTCGATTCCCGCCTCTAGTCCGAGAAAAGAATTTGGTGCGAAAGGTCTTGTCGTTATATTTGAACATGTCACATTTGGTGGATCCATGTCAAACGCACAAGTGTCTGGAAGTGGAATAAGTGAAAAAGAACGGACCGTGTCAGCAATAAAACTGTGTATCACAGAAACAAGTCTGTTTCCCATATTTACAATCGCTTTTTATGTAATCAAAACAAACCTTCGCGTGCAGGCGCGCCGGAAGCAGTTTGGGATGGGGGGAGGGGGGTGGGGCAAACATTCCAGGGGGCTAATCTTCCAGGGGCAATGACGTAATGAGCAACAACAACAACAAAAATCGGGGGGGGGCAAAAGAAAATTTTGAATCACCAGCACTTTTACATGCCCCCCCCCCCGGAACGTTTTTCGAAGTGGAGTAATAGGGACTTTTAGATTCTGCACGACGAGAACGCGGACTGCCTTTTTAAGGCAATGTGACGTCACTGCCATTGCCTTAAAAGGGCAGTCTACGTTCTCGTCGTGCAGAATCTAAAAGTCGAATATATAATTGCTTTCAGAAAAGGAAAACAGAATACACACAAACAAAAGTGGAGACCTCTAATTTAATTTGATCTGATATTTGATATCTAATTAATTCGTTTATATGTTCATTTGTTTACCTTGAATTGTACTGTATTGTATTTGTAATGCAGATCGAATGTTGTAATAAACAACGATTGTAAATGTCTTTGATTTGAAGCAATAACAAATTAAAAAAAAAAAAAAAAAAAAAGATACGAGTCGCTCATGATTAAAGTCAGATTTACATATTGTCGCTTGGGTGACAACATGACCTCAACAAATGTTCAGGAGAGCTGAAAAACATGGCTACCTTATCATGCAAGTCACTGGAGACAAAAGCGAGTAATTGCGTGAATAAACGGGCAAGAATAAACAAATTTCAGCAAGTACAGTAAAAAGTAAAATTGAATCTGTATCATGAAAATGACCAAAGAAGAATAAAAAAAACCATGGTCCTTTGTTTATTACATTTTAGCTTTTTTTTTTTTTTTTTTGGGGGGGGGGACCTAATTCTTAAGTTTCTAGAATGTGAACCAAACTTGTCACACACAATAAAATGATATCTTCATTAAAAAGAAATAGCTAGGAAAACTCTTGCACAGGAACCATGCAGAATGACTGCATATATACATTCTACCCTTTTTGCACATCTATTATATTATAAGCAGAATTACCCGAATTTTGTGTCCTTTTCATTATTTTAATTCACTTGCAGCTAGCTCAGCAAAGCTCCATGAACGCAAAGAATGTCGTTTTCACACGTTCACAGATATTCACGTGTTGTACAATAACAATTCCGACAAGCTGATCGCGCGAACCACTATGCGTAGGTTAAAATGAAAAACAAGGGAGCAAAATTTTACCATAAATCTACTAAAGTAGCAAAATAATGAATACCCTTGTCAATAAGTAGTACATTATTTTTGATAAATTCATATTTTTTTCAAAATTGAACTAGATACTATTTATTTTTTAGTACATTTGAATACCGATTCCCCAACAATTTCATGAACGAAGCCATGTAAAACACCGCGGTTAAAACAATTACGATTGGCCACGATCATCACGAGCTGCTGTATATGTAAAACACCTCCCTGGTATATGTAAGACCCTCATGCATATGCACATATATAATGAGCTCCGCAATTTAGGAAAGGCCAAGCCGCTGAAGCGGCTCGGTCCAGCGATCACTGCTGTAAAGCCAAACTGCGTTAGTCTATTTTCAGACCCTGCTCGACAGACAAGCAGCGCGCGAGGCCTTGTCCAAAGGCTACAACATTCCTAACTACCAGCAGCTATTCATCAAATATTCTCACCTGGGAGCAAATTTCCAAGGTTTTAAGGGGAGAAAATACAAAAGGAATGAGAATAATACGCCGAATGAATAGACCTGTCCTTGATCTCCATAAGTAAATATTCTTGTCTTTTCGAATCCGACTCCGTCTGTTTGCAGGTCAGACAACTTTTTACCACAATACTATTATATTATATAATTTTGTTTACCTTACCAAAACTTATGGAATGATTTTGACAATGCTTAATTCCTAATAGATCCAAGTGATAGTATATGACATGAGTGTCTGTTTTGCGTGACTGCTATTAAAAGCATGTGTTTGCTACTATGCTAATCAACTAGGGGACCTACGTCCTTGAGTCATAACTGACAGTAATGAGGATTTATGCCTCACAAAAGGGCACTAATATAGCTGATCTACACGATTTTTATCCTAGGGCCTCACAGTAACGAGGCCATTGCTTAGCCATTGAATCATGACTGTACGCAGCGGGGGCTAGGGTACGGGGCCACAAATACAAAAAAGAAAAAAATGCAATAAATTATCAATAACTTATTGCATTTTCCCCCGGTCCCGTACAGAAAAAAATCTTCTGTAGGGTCATGCCTTCCCGTAGCAACAAACAGAGTTGACAAAGGACTTCACTCCGTTTCGTTGACGATCAGCCTTCCACAAAGAAGATGAAAGATTTGATGCATGGCTAATCGTCAACGAATCGGAGTGAAGTCTTTTGTCAACTCTGTTTGTTGTTACGGCAGGCAGCCAGTGAAAACGAATTCGTTTAATCAAATTATCAAAATGCAAGCATTACTTTAAACAAACAGAACTTTGTTATTCCTGGCTCATTTTTCCGTTTCGGTTTAATAAAATTTGGAGTGGACTATTAGGCTATTATTATTATTATTATTATATGAAAGCGCAGAAAATGAACTTTCTACAAATGTAATTTTCTCTTTGAAATTCAGATACCGCCCACCAAATGACTTGTTGGTACCCTCTCTTCAAAAATGCGTGAAATATGCATCATTTGAGTTGCATTAATTATAATTGTGATTAAATTATGATTAAAAATCGATAATTCTCAGTTTCGTATATCTCCGGGGCGCACTGTATAATAATATCCGAGTACGGCTAGGAAAAAATATCGCAATCCAAATAGAACTCCAACTTTATTTTCTAATACACTGATTTACAAAACGAAAATGACTTAGTCCAAGACGAATGTCAATCAATGTAAACCCCAACGGAAACGGCCGCGTCAAATTTTTCAATTTCCTCTTCAGCTATTTTTAGTTTACGATTAATACCTTTTATTTTCCTCCTACTACATATTAACATGAAATTAGTTATCATTGAATCAATTGTAAGTTTGTTAGCATTGCACCACTCATGTATCGTTTGTATGTTATTATTCACTTCATTTACATCAATTTCATCCGGAACATCAAACATCCCAAAATTGCAATAATTAGTAACTGTTGGCAAATCATTTATATAGATCAAAAGCAGAGTTAGCCCTAATACTGGTCCTTGTGGGATACCACACCTTATTTTCTCCACGAACTTTTTTGATAAGTTTATCAACCTCAGCACTTCTTGATGATGTTTTTTCCATGTAACAATTCATTGATAATGGCCCATGCTTTATTTGTGTCCCACATATTATTTTATAGCAAATCGCAATATTAATTTCTTTTTGCATTTCTGAGTGTTCATTACATTTCTGTACTTTTTGTACTTATCAAGAAGATCCTGAATATGATTTGATTTATTAAATCTTTAATACGTTGCATATTTTACACGAATAGACTTCATGATCCCTCGAGATATCCGTGGTTTTTTTAGCAGCTTTCTTCTTTCCTAACTGCTTAGTAACTAATGGTGCATGTTTATTAATTACGGTTAAATGATTATTAGAAAAATGGTAGACAATCGGTAATAAAAAAAACTGGAAACTAGACTTAGTAGTTATTAGACTAAATAAATAGAAGATCAAATGGGTAGCAGACTAATTGGAGATTAAACCAAATTTTTTAAAATGACTATACAGTGTGATTCAAAAAAAAGTTTACACCTAGAAAATTGCTAATTATTTAAAAAATCATCAATGAACATTAAACTGTTATTGTCTTATGAAAGAGTGTTTTATCCCAAATTATTTGGTACCATTTTTGTGTGGTATGTGTTCACGCTTGGATGAACAGGAGACATTGTTTCCGAGAGTGCAAAAATCGAATTGCGCCAAAGTTGCCTATGTGATGTTTGAATAAAACAATTGAGATTTGGGTATTAATTCGGTCTTTGCAGATCCAAATAACACCCCTAACAAAATTAATCATGCCACACATATCAAATATCAAATATCAACGAACATTTGTGCGTTTGTGTGTGGGTATGTGTGACTTTGCCCTTTGCAAAAAACATATGCAATGCATTTCATTTGATACATTCAATCCATTCACTCACTCCGCTAATCCCAACATAATACATACTGTAGGCATCACTTTGGCGCAAGTCGATTTTTGCACTCTCGCAAACAATGCCACCTGTTCATCCAAGCATGAACACATACCACACAAAAATGGTACCAAATGATTTGGGATAAAACACTCTTTCATAAGATGTATACTAATTTACTGTTCATAGATGATTCTAAAAATAATTATCGATTTTCTAGGTGTAAACTTTTTTTGACTCACACGGTATAATAAGTCTAAATGGTCACTAGACCAAATGATAAGTAGACGAAATGATTATTATACCATATGGATAGTAGACGAGCTGGGTTTAGAGTGTAGACCATATGAGAATAGACCAATTGGGTATTATACGAACTGGTTGTAGACAAAACGGCAATAAACAACGAGTTATTATTTTCTTCTTGTTCATCTCCTTATTACAATTATTGTTATCATAATCATTATTGTTATAACTATTCTTATCATTGTTGCCGTTGTTAATATAATATCATTATTATTTTTACTTCTATTAATATTTAAGTTACTATCATTATATTTTTGTTATTACAATTATTTCTGTTATTGTTGTTATTAATATTATCATTATTATTATTGAAATAATAATAATAATAATAATAATAATAATAATAATAATACATATGATTTATAAGGCGCCAAATCCACTTGACAGTCAAATGCTCAAGGCGCAGCTTGTGCAAAAGATGAAATACATACATGATACATTTATACAAAGTGCAATAGGAAAGGTACAGACATGAAAGGTAATGGTAA